TGTGGTTTTGATGGGTACTTGCTCCCACTTCCAGTCAGATGTGGCACGACCAGGGGCGGACTGACCATTTGGAAACTCGGGCACTGCCCGAGGGCCCGGGGTCAGTAGGGGCCCCATGAGATGCCCCTGGTACCTTTTTCATAGGCTTTTTTGAGTTTGGGCAAGGACACAGGGGCCCCATGATCCCCTATTACCCGGGGGCCCCATGAGTTGTCAGTCCGCCCCTGGGCATGACAATCTACCCCCCCCCCCCATTAACCCCTGGGACTCTTTCCAGGTCTCTGAAGTAGCAGTAGGAGGCCGGCTGTGAAGCCAAAAGGCCTCCCTTACCTAAGATACCGGCACCCGAAGCTGAAGAATCGGCTCGGATGAGGACATCGCTGGATCACTGGACAGGGGAGTGTTCTTGTATTAAAGGCCATGAGCTACAGGATTTTGTTTTGGGGGGAGCCTGGAGCTTCCCTTTAACATCTCCCCCGCCGCCTTATATCAGATATACTGCTACAGGGCGGCACGGGTGAGCAAAAACACGTCTATTATTATTATTATTATTATTATTATTATTATACAGTATTTATATAGTGCCAAAGGGTTTGCTCAGCGCTGTACGGTAGTGAGGACAGAACATGAGACAAGACGGTAACAGTACAATACACGAGGGCTTCGAGGGCCCTGATCCTGGGAGCTTACAATCTAGGAGGGAGGGGCTGATCCTGGGAGCTTACAATCTAGGAGGGAGGGGCTGATCCTGGGAGTTTACAATCTAGGAGGGAGGGGCCTGATCCTGGGAGCTTACAATCTAGGAGAGAGGGGCTGATCCTGGGAGCTTACAATCTAGGAGGGAGGGGCTGATCCTGGGAGCTTACAATCTAGGAGGGAGGGGCCTGATCCTGGGAGCTTACAATCTAGGAGAGAGGGGCTGATCCTGGGAGCTTACAATCTAGGAGGGAGGGGCTGATCCTGGGAGCTTACAATCTAGGAGGGAGGGGCCTGATCCTGGGAGCTTACAATCTAGGAGGGAGGGGCTGATCCTGGGAGCTTACAATCTAGGAGGGAGGGGCTGATCCTGGGAGTTTCCAATCTAGGAGGGAGGGGCTGATCCTGGGAGTTTACAATCTAGGAGGGAGGGGCCTGATCCTGGGAGCTTACAATCTAGGAGAGAGGGGCTGATCCTGGGAGCTTACAATCTAGGAGGGAGGGGCCTGATCCTGGGAGCTTACAATCTAGGAGGGAGGGGCTGATCCTGGGAGTTTACAATCTAGGAGGGAGGGGCCTGATCCTGGGAGTTTACAATCTAGGAGGGAGGGGCCGGATCCCGGGAGCTTACAATCTAGGAGAGAGGGGCTGATCCCGGGAGCTTACAATCTAGGAGAGAGGGGCTGATCCCGGGAGTTTACAATCTAGGAGGGAGGGGCCTGATCCTGGGAGCTTACAATCTAGGAGGGAGGGGCTGATCCCGGGAGCTTACAATCTAGGAGGGAGGGGCTGATCCCGGGAGCTTACAATCTAGGAGGGAGGGGCTGATCCCGGGAGCTTACAATCTAGGAGGGAGGGGCTGATCTCGGGAGCTTACAATCTAGGAGAGAGGGGCTGATCCTGGGAGCTTACAATCTAGGAGAGAGGGGCTGATCTCGGGAGCTTACAATCTAGGAGGGAGGGGCTGATCCCGGGAGTTTACAATCTAGGAGGGAGGGGCTGATCCCGGGAGTTTACAATCTAGGAGGGAGGGGCCTGATCCTGGGAGCTTACAATCTAGGAGGGAGGGGCCTGATCCTGGGAGCTTACAATCTAGGAGGGAGGGGCTGATCCCGGGAGCTTACAATCTAGGAGATAATAGCTTCAAGTATCTGTAACCCCTAAATGAATATCTGGCTTGCTTGGTAGTAAACACACTTCGCATATTTTTACCTACAGGCAAAGCTTATAATAAAGGTGCACCATTTAGGAGATATTCAAGTTTTTTTTGCAGCCAGCGCATGCACTCTAAAGGAACGGCATACTCATGCCATTCTTTCAGAGCACCGTGCCATGTCCACGCGCAGCAGTGGCATCGTGGCCCAGCTAGTCAGACTGCTGAAGCTCATGAACCCAGAAGGAAGACCAGGTGAAAATGGAAGCCTCTACAGCAGTGACAGCGCGCCACTGGAGGGCTTTGTATTAAGGTAACGTTTTACATAATGTGCTAGCAATGCATACTACAACATCAGGTCTTTACCTTGCAGGGGATTTATTTTTTTTTAAATAATGGACGCAATTTACTACCGCTTTAAAAGAGATACCAATTCAGGGCACAGGGATAGTGTCTGTGCAAATGATCCCTCTGATATTTTCTTGCCCATACAGCCGGATTTGAAGACGCCGAACGGTTCTTTTATTTTAATTCTTTGATTTTACTATGATTGCAACATGTTCAGCATGTTAATGTCAACCTTTCTATGATCCATGTGATCTGATAAATACAATATTGCATTGAATTTTTGTAGTGATTACTACTCCGCATGGGATTTAATTAACCACTTTGTAGGCGGCAATGCACTAGCCAACTGCCATTTTTTTCTGTGTCCCTCTGATATTTACCTTACCTACACCACCACTTAACCTCCCTGGCGGTATGATTATTTCAGATTTTTGGTGCTGAAAGCGGTACCATTTTTTTGCATGGAAATATGTATTTTTTTTTTTTTATTGTAGGCCTGCAATTTAGGAACAACTCACTGAAATCTGTCCCACAAGAGTCTAGTAAACATCCCGGGGAGGATAAAACTTGAAACACAAAATCATAAATTATAATTTAATAAATAATCATAAAAAATAATATAATAATAAATTTAATTAAATAATATAATCAAACCAAAAACACTGAAATGTGAAATATAGCGCCAAGTTCGCACATCGAAGTCGCAGAATCGTTTTCAGTGTCTGATGAGGAATTTCCCCCACCAATCATTATCACTCAATTCTGCAAGTGGTTCTGATTTACTATCACTGTTCTCTAGCCGGTCTAAAACCGCGTCTGACCTAAAGGGACACTTTTTGGACGCCATGGACTTTTCTAAGTTTCCAGGCAGAAAGAACAGTCAAAATGCAGGCAGGGCTCCGGACAAAGCACTCGGGACAAAATGTGAAATGGTTTGAAACAGCAATGTTATACGATGTAATAATCATTTTTACAAAAATTTTTATTTTTTTTTTATGTGCATTTCCAGGTAGGGGTGCGCGCGTCCTACCCATGCCACCATTCATGGTCGCGGATGTCAATAACCGGGTCCCAGAAGATGAACATCTAATAAATGTGATAGTTTAAGAGTCAAAATTCTGAAGAAACGTCCCCAAAATAAAGATGTGGAATGTAGACATAAATACCTCCTATAAGAAGCACATTCAGTTTGTGGTCAATGATGTCATCGATTCCAATTATGATGTAAAGATCGACCAAAGTAGCATTTTGTATTTCAGTGAGTTCTGATCTGAAGAAGGGCGTCAGCAGAACACCCCGAAACTGTTTGTTGAACACTATGATGTGCGGCTTTGTCCATTTTCTTGGATCACCCTTTTGGATGGTGATCTTTCAACAATAAAAGTTTTTTATGTGCAGCAATTTTCTTTTTTCTATATGTGGCCCTCGGGAGGTCCTGATTGCTGTGTGCTGTGATTGATCACCATTGTGCACTCCACCTATAATATTGCTATATATATACACACACAATATATTGCCAAAAGTATCGGGCCGCCGGCCTTTCCACACACATGACCTTTAATGACCCCCGGTCTCAGTCCGTAGGGTTCAATATTGAGTTGGCCCCGCCCTTCCCACACACATGACCTTTAATGGCCCACCAGTCTTAGTCCGTAGGGTTCAATATTGAGTTGGCCCCGCCCTTCCCACACACATGACCTTTAATGGCCTCCCAGTCTTAGTCTGTAGGGTTCAATATTGAGTTGGCCCCGCCCATTGCAGCTAAAACAGCTTCAACTCTTCTGGGAAGGCCGTCCACAAGGTTTAGGAGGGTGTCTATGGGAAGGTTGGACCATTCTTCCAGAAGCACATTTGTCAGGTCAGGCACTGATGTCGGGGGAGGGGGCCTGGCTCGCAGTCTCCACTCTAATTCATCCCAAAGGTGTTCTATGGGGTTGAGGTCAGGACTCTGTGCAGGACAGTCAAGTTCCTCCACCCCAAACTGGCACCTCCATGTCTTTATGGACCTTGCTTTGTGCACTGGTGGGCAGTCATGTTGGAACAGGAAGGGGCCATCCCCAAACTCCTCCCACAAAGTTGGGAGCATGAAATTGTCCAAAATGTCGCCTTAAGAGTTCCCTTCACTGGAACTAGGGGGCCAAGCCCAACCCCTGAGGAACACCCCCACACCATAATCCCCCCTCCACCAAACATTACACTTGGCACAATGCAGTCAGGCAAGTACCATTCTCCTGGCCAGATTCCAGATTGCCCAACAGAGAAGCGTGATTGCTCACTCCAGAGAACACATCTCCACTGCTCTAGAGTCCAGTGGCGGCGTGCTTTACACCACGGTATCCAACGCTTTGCATTGCACTTGGTGATGGAAGGCTTGGATGCAGCTGCTCGGCCATGGAAACCCATTCCATGAAGCTCTCTACACACTGTTGTTGGACTCATCTGAAGGCCACACCAAGTTTGGAGGTCTTTAGCTATTGACTCTGCAGACAGTTGGTGACTTCTGCGCACTGTGCGCTTCAGCATGCGCTGACCCCGCCCTGTCATGTGACGTGGCCTACCACTTGGTGGCTGAGTGGCTGTTGTTCCCAGTTGCTTCCACTTTGTTATAATCCCACTAACAGCTGAACGTGGAATATTTAGTAGCCAGGAAATGTCCCGGATGGACTTATTGCCCAGGTGACCACCTATCACGGGACCACGCTTGGAGTCACTGAGCTCCTGAGAGCGACCGATTCTTTCACCAATGTTTGTAGAAGCCGTCTGCATGCCTAGGGGCTTGATTGTATACACCTGTGTCCATGGAGGGGATTGGAACACCTGAATCACATGATATGGAGGGGATTGGAACACCTGAATCACATGATAGGGAGGGGATTGGAACACCTGAATCACATGATTGGAGGGGATTGGAACACCTGAATCACATGATATGGAGAGGATTGGAACACCTGAATCACATGATATGGAGGGGATTGGAACACCTGAATCACATGATATGGAGGGGATTGGAACACCTGAATCACATGATATGGAGGGGATTGGAACACCTGAATCACATGATTGGGAGGGGATTGGGACACCTAAATCACATGATATGGAAGGGATTGGAACACCTGAATTACATGATATGGAGGGGATTGAAGCACCTGAATCACATGATATGGAGGGGATTGGAACACCTAAGTCACATGATTGGGAGGGGATTGGAACACCTGAATCACATGATATGGAGGGGATTGGAACTCCGGAATCACATGATTAGGAGGGCGGGGTCAATACTTGGGGCAATATAGTGTATATATATATATATATATATAATGTTTGGGGGTGCTAAGTAAACTTCTAGTAAAAATAATACTGATTTTACATGAATGAAAGGTAAAACATTTGTGTGTAGGTATAAAAAGAAACATATAAACACTTCTTTCCCCCCTTTTCTTATAAGTGACCACAGACCCTCTGTTCTCAGCTGCATAAGAGCTAGGGGAGGAGGAACAGCAGCACACCGGTCTTCGCAAGGAATGGCTGTGCAGGGGAGGGTGTCAGGACAAGTCTCATCATTAGTGATGACATGCTGGGAGGTTAATTGGCTCCTGTCTAAAGTGGCCCTAGTATGTGTATGTATGAATGTGAGTCAGGACCTTAGATTGTATGCTCCTCGGGGGCGGGGACTGATGTGAATGTACAATATGTAAAGCACTGTGTAAATTGATGGCGCTATATAAGTACCTGAAATAAATAAATAAATTAGTTGAGAGCACAGCTAGAGAACTGACCACGCTGTGCTCTCATGCCTAGTGTGGTCAGTTTTTAATAGGAAAGCAGAGGGACTGGCAGGTTCACCGGGGATCTCGCACAAAGGAAACAATACAAAGAGAACAGGAGACCTCTTCCTACAAGTCCATTGTAAGTCTTTTAGCACCTAGAGAGACCTTGGCTCCTCCCCACCTGAGGAAAACACCTCCACCCACAATAAAAGTATGGCCTCCCCACTCCGACCTCAGTTCATGATCTAACACCTCCGGTTACCTGGACAGCCACAATACAAGACTCACAAAAAAAAAAATAATCGTACCGTATAACCTCCCCATCTTTCAGGACAGTACCTTGAGAGGATACCCGAGCACTCACCCCTAGGGCGGGACCACCACTTGTAGAACCTTGAGTCTGAAGGCCTGCTCCTCTACCGAGACCAGGTCCCGTCTGTAATGCTTAACGAAGGTGCTGTAATTGGACCAGGTAGCAGCCCAACAGATCTGTCCCGAGGTTGCACCGGCTCAACATACGTGACCACCATGGCCCGGGTGGAGTGAGCCACGATGCCCTCCAGGACTTCCAGACCCTCGGTCAGATACGCCTCTAATTGCCAGTCTCAGCCACCTAGCTAAAGTGCTCCTAGAGGCTTTACAAGCCTTGCTTGCTCCTGAAAATTAAACAAAAAGGGAATCCGACATCCTGATCCCTTTAATCCATCTAAATGAAGGAGAACACATCTTCTAACATCCAACGTGTGAAATTTCCTTTCCTGGTCACGCGAGGGGTTAGAACAAAATGAAGGTAACTTCTTGGCCTCGATGAAATCTCGAGGTTATCTTGGGTAAGAAGGCCGGGTCTGTCCTAAACGTCACCCTACCCACAAAAATCTGGAGGAAGGGGGATGTGATTGACAGGGCTTCCAAATCACTAACTCTCCTTGCTGTAGTAACCACTACCAGGAATACTGTCTTGAGGGTCAGGTCCAGAGGGAGCTTGAATCTGGGGGGCCTGTCAGCACATTAAGTATCGTCGTCAGGTTCTACTTTGGAAAGGGCCTTTCTCTTGCAGGTCTCTGTCTGGTCAAGGACCTAAACAATCTCACCACCAGCTCCTCTCTGGCTAAGAGAGACTCTAGGAAAACGCTAAGAGCCGACACTTGGCCCTTCAGTGTACTCACCACTGGCCCCTTGTAGGCCCCGGGCTGCAAAAATTCCAGGACTGAAACTAAGCTACAGTGAAGGAAATGCGTATTTGCTCCCCTGATGGTGAATGTTCTCCCCTCACACAGAAATGATCGGTCTAAACAATGGAATGTTCGCCCCTCACACAGAAATGATCGGTCTAAACAATGGAATGTTCGCCCCTCACACAGAAATGATCGGTCTAACAATGGAATGTTCGGTGTAACACTAAGAGACAGAATACAACAACAAATTCAGCAGAAATGCGTCTAACAAATGATGAATGATCTGCATGTTCATGAGGGAAAGAAGGATTTGATCCCCTTCACAAAACATGACTTAGTACTTGGTGGCCAATATTCATTTCCTTCACTGTATATGTTTCCTAAGGAAGTCTGAGCACACCATTTGTTAAAAAGCTTCCAGACCTTAAGGTAGATAGAACGGGTCTCCTCTTTTCTACTATTTAGGAGAGTGGATACTACCCTAGCTGAGAACCCCTTGCTCCTCAGCAGCTGTTCCTCAGAAACCAGGCCGCTAGGTTCCATCTGTCTACCTGGGGACACAGAACTGGACCCTGAGACAGCAATATCCAAGGCTAGGGCTGCCAGGGTCGAAAACCAAGCTCGTCGGGACCAGTGCGGGGCTATCAAGATTCGGGAAGTTTTCTCGGATCTGAACTTCCTCAGAACTGCTGGCAATAAAGAGACTGGGGGGAAGGTGTAACAAAGGTGAAAGTCCCACTGCTGCGCTGGTGCATCCACTGCCAACACCTCGTCCCACTGGTTTAGAGAGAAGAAAACCAGAACTTTGGTATTTTGGCCTGATGCGAAAAGGTCTATGGATGGAGACCCCCACTCCCTTATGATGGCTTGGTAGATCTTTCCATTGAGCACCCATTCTGATTCCCTCAGCAGCCTTCTGGTTCAGATCCCCCTTCAGGTGGACAGCAGATAAGGAGGCTACATTTGTCTCCACCCAAGTGAGTAGCTCCAAGGCCAGGGACCACAGAGTCCTGCTTTGAGTCCCTCCCTGCCTGTTGACATACACCACAATGGAGGAGTTGTCCGAGAGGATCCACATTTGCTGGCCCCGTAGCTGCTCCCGGAAGGCCACAAGGGATCGCCTTGAGTCGTTTCCAGTTTGATGATCTGTTCCTCTCTTCTTGTAGCCAAGAACCCTGCGCAATGAATCCTCATGGGTGTACCCCAACCCCTGGTGCTCGCGTCACCTGCTATTTCCCTGGAGATGGGTAAGGCCCATAACAACCCCTGGGTCAGATTGGCTGACATCCTCCACCACCAAAGGGTCCTCTTCACCCGGGCAGGTACCTGTATCAAGGAGTCAAAAGACACCTGCTGGCGATCCCTGACATCCAAAATGAACAGCTGGAGGGGACACAAGTGCAAACCTGCCCATGGTACCGCCAGGATGGACGAGGTCCAGTCCCAATACTGACATGGATTCTCTTAGGGACACGGCCTGGTTCCCTAGCAGCTGCCTGATTTCCCTGTCCAACTGTAGGATTTTTTCCTGGGGCAGAAAGGTCTTCTGGAGGGTGGAATCCAGTTCGCAGCCTGGGTACACATTCATTTGGGCTGGGACCAAATTCGACTTGGATAAGTTTACTAGCCAGCCCAGATTCTCCAGGTGTCTCATCACCAAGGAAATGTCCCGCAACAGCTGTTCATCCAAGTCTGCAAACAATAGGAGATCATCTGGCAAGACTCCCCTTAGACGAAGAGACACCAGGGCCTAGGCCATGATCTTTGTGAAAGTCCTGGGCGAGGAGGAAAGCCCAAAGGGCAAGACTCGGAACTGCAGGTACATTATTTCCCCGGGGCCCCGTATTGTCAACCTGAGGAATTTCTGAAAGACCTCTGCAATAGGAATGTGTAAGTAACCGTCCCTTAGGTCTATTGAGGCCAGAAAGCAGTTTGGGGGAAGAAGGGACCTGACCGAAAAAATCAAATCCATACAGAATATTTTGTGTTTGATGGTCTCATTCAAGGGCTTGAGGTGCAAATTCAGCAAATACATACCTGAGGGCTTTCTGACCACAAAGACGTGGGAATAGAAACCCCTTGCCAGGGGTGGACTGACAACTCATGGGGCCCCTGGGCAATAGGGGATCATGGGGCCCCGGTGTCCTTGCCCAAACTCAAAAAAGCCTATGAAAAAGGTACCAGGGGCATCTCATGGGGCCCCCTACTGACCCCGGGCCCTCAAGCAGTGCCCGAGTTTCCAAACGGTCAGTCCGCCCTTGCCCCCTGCTGATCTCTGTGGCTGGTACACTGACAACGACCTTCTGCTCCTCCAACTTCTGCAAAGAAGAGAGTAGGGCTGAGGCCTTCTCTGCACACCTTGGGAGCTCTGTCACTAATCTCTGTGGCTTCGGCCTCCGAAATTCCAGGCAGGACTTCCCTCTTGCTATACCTAGGATAAAGGGACTGGAGGACACTGCTTCCCACTGTGGGAGGAGGACCCCCAATCTTCCTTCAACCGGAACACCATCATTGCGATTTTTGGGGCTGCTCAGGAGGACGGAAAATCACTTCTCCCTTGACCCTTCCTTTTTGCCCCCAGAGCCTTTTCTGTACTTCCGGCCTGATGGCTTGTACCAGCTTTTAGGGATGAAATGTCCCCCCCCCCCTGCACTTGGAGCTTCCTCTTAAGGGGAAAGGCTTTTTCCTGTTTGCGGTGCGATCCAGCAACAGTCTCAAGACCTGGGCCAAAAAGGAAGTCTCCTGTGAACGGGATGCCACAAAGCCTAACCTTGGAGGCAATGTCCCCCCGCCATGTCTTGAGCCACAGGGCTCTGCAGGAAGAGTAGGTTAGGGCTGCTGACCTAGCCGTCATCCTTACTGACTCCGCTGAGGCGTCCGCAATATAGTCCACCGCCTGCAGTAAGGTCTGGAAGGAGGCGAATATTTTGTCCTTCGGTGATCCCGTCACGATATGGGCCTGTAGCTGTGTAAGCCAATACTCCATGTTCTGAGCTACCACTGTAGTGGCCATGGCGGGCTTTAAGTTGGATAGTGTCCCAGGAATTTTTAAGAAGGGAATCCGCCCTTCTATCCATGGTGTCAGACAAGACCTCCATGTCCTGAAAGGCAAGGTCCATCTTTCTGGCTACCTGAGAAAAGGTCGCTTCCAGCTTGGACCTTTAATTCCACATTCGGATGAGTCTTCGTCAAACGGGAACCTGCGCTTGAGAGATTTGGCAAAGAAGGACTTTCTCTCTGGATCCTGCAACTCCCTCTTTATGGTTTCTAGCAGTACTTCGTGGAGGAGAAAGACTCTATGCTGTTGTTCCTCCATCCCGATACATTTGATCCTACAACGTAAGGGGCTTCTTATCTTCCTTAATGTTCAAAGTAGCATAAATGGCTCCTAGTAAGTCATCGACCTCTTCTAGGGACAACTTCTATCTAGAGGGGCCTCTGTGCTCCCTCAAGGGGCCCTCCCCCTCCGTGTTTGCCTCTGAATCGGAGTCCGCGGATGGGCCCTCTTCAGCCATTTTGCCTCTTGGACCCCCTACTGGTTGTCGGTGTAACCTCAATCTGTTGGGGGGGAAGGGGTGTCTGGGGCAGAGCTAAAATGTCGACTAGAGACCTAAAGGAATCAAAGGTAGCCGTCAATTCCCTAACCGACTTAACCAGGTCCCTCTGAGAAGGAACTTCCTCTGTAATCAGGCCCTCAATACAGGACTCACACAGCACCTTGATCCAGGAGTCCTTGAGGGGCACTTCCTTTTAGCCCTGTGGTGCGGCTTGGGCTGCTCTCTGACCATTACCTGTAACATGCAAACAGAACCAGGCTTCCCATTGACCACAGGGACTGGCTGAGTGCCCCTCCCCCTCCTCATGGCAGGGCGTGGGAGACTACTATCTGAGACCCCTCCCCCCCTGCTCTAGCCCCTCTGACCACCTGGAGGGCTGAGGACACCCCCTGGAGCTAGGGGCCCAACAGGTAGGGAAACAAGGCTCCTCTGATCCACCTACCTGCGGCTGGCTGGTGCTGGGGTCGCCTGGTCCCGGTGCCTCTTCTCCAGACATGTTCCAGGTGGTTCCAAGGGACACGACCAGAAGCCACATCCTGAGAGCAAGTCACACCCTTCTGCCCGGAAAAGACGTCCCCCGTCATCCAGCCCGGCCTCCATTGTCGGCATGTCATGGGGCTGTGGTACCTCTCCCTCGGTCCCCCTGGACACTGGAGCACGGGCTTCTGGCACCCCGGACTTCCTCAACGTTACCCCACCACCGCGTCTACACTCTTCAACGTTACCCCACCACTGCGTTACACTCCTCAACATTACCCCACCCACCGCGTCTACACTCCTCAACGTTACCCCACCACTGCGTCTACACTCCTCAACGTTACCCGACCACTGCGTCTACACTCCTCAACATTACCCGACCACTGCATCTACACTCCTCAACATTACCCGACCACTGCATCTACACTCCTCAACATTACCCCACCACTGCGTCTACACTCCTCAACGTCACCCGACCACTGCGTCTACACTCCTCAACATTACCCCACCACCGCGTCGACACTCCTCAACATTACCCCACCACTGCGTCTACACTCCTCAACATTACCCCACCACCGCGTCTACACTCCTCAACATTACCCGACCACTGCGTCTACACTCCTCAACATTACCCCACCACCGCGTCTACACTCCTCAACATTACCCGACCACTGCGTCTACACTCCTCAACGTTACCCCACCACCGCGTCTACACTCCTCAACATTACCCCACCACCGCGTCTACACTCCTCAACATTACCCCCACCACCGCGTCTACACTCCTCAACGTTACCCCACCACTGCATCTACACTCCTCAACGTTACCCCACCACTGCGTCTACACTCCTCAACATTACCCGACCCACTGCGTCTACACTCCTCAACGTTACCCCACCACCGCGTCTACACTCCTCAACGTTACCCCACCACTGCGTCTACACTCCTCAACGTCACCCGACCACTGCGTCTACACTCCTCAACATTACCCGACCACTGCATCTACACTCCTCAACATTACCCGACCACTGCATCTACACTCCTCAACATTACCCCACCACTGCGTCTACACTCCTCAACGTTACCCCACCACTGCAACTACAGTCCTCAACATAACCCCACCACTGCATCTACACTCCTCAACGTTACCCAACCACTGCGTCTACACTCCTCAACATTACCCCACCACCGCGTCTACACTCCTCAACGTTACCCCACCACCGCGTCTACACTCGTCAACGTTACCCCACCACTGCGTCTACACTCCTCAACGTTACCCCACCACCGCGTCTACACTCCTCAACATTACCCGACCACTGCGTCTACACTCCTCAACGTTACCCCACCACTGCGTCTACACTCCTCAACGTTACCCCACCACCGCGTCTACACTCCTCAACGTTACCCCACCACCGCGTCTACACTCCTCAACATTACCCGACCACCGCGTCTACACTCCTCAACGTTACCCCACCACTGCGTCTACACTCCTCAACGTTACCCCACCACCGCGTCTACACTCCTCAACGTTACCCCACCACTGCGTCTACACTCCTCAACGTTACCCCACCACTGCGTCTACACTCCTCAACGTTACCCCACCACTGCGTCTACACTCCTCAACGTTACCCCACCACTGCGTCTACACTCCTCAACGTTACCCCACCACTGCGTTTACACTCCTCAACCTTACCCCACCACTGCGTCTACACTCCTCAACCTTACCCCACCACTGCGTCTACACTCCTCAACCTTACCCCACCACTGCGTCTACACTCCTCAACCTTACCCCACCACTGCGTCTACACTCCTCAACGTTACCCCACCACTGCGTCTACACTCCTCAACGTCACCCCACCACTGCGTCTACACTCCTCAACGTCACCCCACCACTGCGTCTACACTCCTCAACGTTACCCCCCACCACCGCGTCTACACTCCTCAACGTTACCCCACCACCGCGTCTACACTCCTCAACGTTACCCCACCACTGCGTTTACACTCCTCAACCTTACCCCACCACTGCGTCTACACTCCTCAACGTTACTCCATCACTGCGTCTACACTCCTCAACGTTACCCCACCACTGCGTCTACACTCCTCAACATTACCCCACCACTGCATCTACACTCCTCAACGTTACCCCACCACTGCGTCTACACTCCTCAACATTACCCCACCACTGCGTCTACACTCCTCAACGTTACCCCCCACCACTGCGTCTACACTCCTCAACGTTACCCCACCACTGCGTCTACACTCCTCAACATTACCCCCACCACTGCGTCTACACTCCTCAACATTACCCGACCACTGCATCTACACTCCTCAACATTACCCGACCACTGCATCTACACTCCTCAACATTACCCCACCACTGCGTCTACACTCCTCATTACCCCACCACTGCGTCTACACTCCTCAACCACTGCTCTACACTCCTCAACATTCCCCCACCACTGCGTCTACACTCCTCAACGTTCCCCCACCACTGCGTCTACACTCCTCAACATTCCCCGACCACTGCGTCTACACTCCTCAACATTACCCCACCACTGCGTCTACACTCCTCAACATTACCCCACCACTGCGTCTACACTCCTCAACATTACCCCACCACTGCGTCTACACTCCTCAACATTACCCCACCACTGCATCTACACTCCTCAACATTACCCCACCACTGCGTCTACACTCCTCATTACCCCACCACTGCGTCTACACTCCTCAACCACTGCTCTACACTCCTCAACATTCCCCCACACTGCGTCTACACTCCTCAACATTACCCCACCACTGCGTCTACACTCCTCAACATTACCCCACCACTGCGTCTACACTCCTCAACATTACCCCACCACTGCGTCTACACTCCTCAACGTTACCCCACCACTGCGTCTACACTCCTCAACGTCACCCAACTACTGCGTCTACACTCCTCAACATTACCCCACCACTGCGTCTACACTCCTCAACGTTCCCTGACCACTGCATCTACACTCCTCAACGTTACCCCACCACTGCGTCTACACTCCTCAACGTCACCGAACTACTGCATCTACAGTTATAAACATTGCATGTCTCTTTGTGCTCCTGTGTTTCTTTGTGTATCAGATCTTGCTGATGCAGTAATACTACCTTGTGTCTGGTTGCTGTGCTCGGTCCTGTCATGGTGTATGACCTGTATCATGAACCCGTCTTCCACAACCTCACCTTAGCAGCAGAGTTTGGCTGTTCCTCACCCAGTTTTAAGCCTCTTACACAACTTTTTCTGTATCGGTTAAAGCGGTTCGAAAGCCTGAACATTTGTTACCTTAATGCATTCCTTGACAGGTTTGGCCCCTCACCCCCCATTTTACTTACCTGGGCCCTCAATCAATCCAGTGCTGTGCAGCTCCTCTTCTCCCCTCACTTCTGTGTCTCAATGGCTTTGCGGGGCACTGGGAGCCATTGCTGTCAATCAATGCCAATGGGGGGAGTGGGAAGGCGTGGCTGAGTCCCACTCTCTATGTAAATGGACACAGCGGCAGGGTTGAGGAGCAAGCACACACGAGTGCCCCATGAGACGCACTGGACAGAAAGGAAGATCCAGGAGCTCCAGCAGGAGACCCCAGACGAGGAGGTTTGGGGCTGCTCTGTGTGATGGAAGTTTTTATTACAGAGATTATTATAGATATGTTTGATGTATATTCAGGGGCGGACTGACCATTCGAGAACTCGGGCACTGCCCGAGGGCCCGGGGTCAGTAGGGGGCCCCATAAAATGCCCCTGGTACCTTTTTTTAATAGGCTTTTTTGGGTGTGTTTTGAGTGTGGGCAAGGACACAGGGGCCCCATGATCTGCAATTGCCCGGGGGCCCCATGAGTTGTCAGTCTGTGTATATTTTGTAACATTTTCCTCTAAAATCACTTTAATGACCGTGTTTCAACCTCCATATGAAATTGATGATCATTAGCAGCTGCTTGGTATCATTGGTTAATCCTACAAAACATGTAATATGCTAGGGGGGGTGTCAAAATGGCGGCCCTCCAGCTGTTGCGAAAACTACAAGTCCCATCATGCCTCTGCATTTGGGATTCATGCTTGCAACTGTCAATCTTGCAATGCCTCATGGGACTTGTAGTCTGGCATCAGCTGGAGGGCCACCAGTTTGACACCCATGCCTTAGGTCAGGGGTGTCAAACTGGCGGCCCTCTAGATGTTACCAAACTACAAGTCCCATCATGCCTCTGCCTTTGGGAGTCATGCTTGTAACTGTCAATTTTGCAATGCCTCATGGGACTTGTAGTCTGGCATCAGCTGGAGGGCCCCCAGTTTGACGCCCGTGTAGCATGCAGTACCCTATTTGTCCTGTAATGGCGCTATGGAGAGGTAAGGACTGACAGGGACTGTGTGTAGGCCCCCTAATGGTCAGTCATGGGACAGCAATTCCAAATGCTTGTATGTTTGCATCAAAACTTTTTGGATTTCTATAGCAGAGCGCCCCCCCCCTGCCCCCCCTGCCCCCCCCCCCCCCATTTTCCAGCAATCTATTGTATTGGTAATTTAGGCTGCTGTAAGAATTCTGTATATTTTACCCTAATGGCCATCATTAGGACGAGAACAAACAAAAATCGATATTGCAGAAGAGCGTCTGCAATTCATTGTGACATGAAGGGAATTGCTCAATAAACTCGGGAACAATGGAAGAAGTTCAGCCGCCGATTAAACAGCGAGGAGGAAGCGGCTCCCATTGTTTTGCAGAAAATCGCGGCGGTAACAAACAGGCCAATCTCAGAATCACATTTATTCCGGAGCCGGCTGTAATTGTTCGTTCCGGCCAGAGTCGTGTACAAGCAGCGCGGAACACGCAATCAGTAATTGGATTTGTGATGAACGGCCCGGAACTCTCGGAATTATTCCGCATCAAAGCCAAAAACTCGGAAGGAAAAATCCGGCTTGGCTTAGAAATGTTCCCAATCCGCAAAAGGAAACTATTTCAGATCCTCGCCTGCTTTGGTTCTGTAGATATTCCTGTCGGATTTATCAACATGTTCTGAAACCGACTGCTAAGTGGGAGTGGCTGCGTGCACTAGAGTCACATGATCAGTCTCGGGGTCGGAATAAAAGCTGCAGCCTCGGTGTCCTATGGTGACAGCAGGAAATATATCGCCACAGAGGACACCACCTGTAATTCATCCTCCAGCTCTGTGTGGACTGACCAATCACGTGACCACGATGACGAATCAGAATCGATCTAATCAATCCCGGTGTGCTTATCACCCACTGTCTGGACCTGTGTCATTTCTTGGGTCACCTGCTGGTGGCACTGTTGCACACAGAGTCGAAGGGTGCAGTTCTGGTGGCCACCAGTGGGTGTCTCCCAGCAGCTGGGCTGTTCAAGTAATTAGGCTGCTGGGAGGTAAAAAATCCTGCCATGGACTGGAGTGCAGCGCTTCGGAGTTCTTCCTGCAAGTTGTGTCCCTACCTGGGCCTGATCCTGATCCCTGTTCCAGTGACCTCCTTCCTGCATCCAGCTCTCCCTGCATCCAGCTCCCTGCATTCAGCTCTCCCTGCATCCAGCTCTCCCTGCTTCTGCCTCTCCCTGTACCCCGCTCCCTGGTTCCGCCTCTCCCTGCACCCCGCTCCCTGCATCCACCTCTCCCTCCCTGTACCCCACTCCCTCTCCCTGTACCCTGCATCCAGCTCCCTGCATCCACCTCTCCCTGTACCCCTGTACTCCCTGCTTCCGCCTCTCCCTGCACCCGCTCCCTGCATCCACCTCTCCCTGCGTCCACCTCTCTATCCCTGTACCCTGCTCCCTGCGTCCACCTCTCCCTGTACCCCGCTCCCTGCATCTAGCTATCCCAATACCCCACTCCCTTGGTCCACCTCTCCCTGTACCCCCCGCTCCCTGCATCTAGCTATCCCAGTACCCCGCTCCCTGCATCCACCTCTCCCTGTACCCCACTCCTGCGTCCACCTCTCCCTGTACCCCGCTCCTGCGTCCACCTCTCCCTGTACCCCGCTCCCTGCATCTAGCTATCCCAGTACCCCGCTCCTGCGTCCACCTCTCCCTGTACCCCGCTCCCTGCATCTAGCTATCCCAGTACCCCGCTCCTGCGTCCACCTCTCCCTGCATCCACCTCTCCCTGTACCCCTCTCCCTGCATCTAGCTATCCCAGTACCCCGCTCCCTGCATCCACCTCTCCCTGTATCCCGCTCCCTGCATCCACCTCTCCCTGTACCCCGTTCCCTGCGTCCACCTCTCCCTGTACCCCGCTCCCTGCATCTAGCTATCCCCAGTACCCCGCTCCCTGCATCCACCTCTCCCTGTATCCCGCTCCCTGCATCCACCTCTCCCTGTACCCCGTTCCCTGCGTCCACCTCTCCCTGTACCCCGCTCCCTGCATCCACCTCTCCCTGTACCCCGCTCCCTGCATCCACCTCTCCCTGTACCCCGCTCCTGCGTCCACCTCTCCCTGTACCCCGCTCCCTGCATCTAGCTATCCCAGTACCCCGCTCCTGCATCTAGCTAGCCCAGTCCCCCCCGCTCCTGCGTCCACCTCTCCCTACCCCGCTCCCTGTACCCCTCTCCCTGTACCCCTCTCCCTGCATCCACCTATCCCTGTACCCCGCTCCCTGCATCCACCTCTCCCTGTAACCTCTCCCTGTACCCCCCGCTCCCTGCGTCCACCCCCTCTCCCTGTAACCCGTCCCACCTCTCCCTGCGTCCACCTCTCCCTGTACCCCTCTCTCTGCATCTAGCTATCCCAGTGCCCTGCTTTTTTTTGTTTTTATAGTGCAAAAATAAAAAATACACACAGGGGATCAAATACCACTGAAAGAAAGCTCCATTTGTGGGGAAAAAAATTATATAAATGTAATTTATGTACAGCATTGCATGACAGCGCAATTGTCAGTTAAAGTAACGCAGCGCCGTATCACAAAAAATGGCCTGGTCAGGAAGGTGGGGGGGGGGGGGGGGGGGGGGGGGGGGGGGGGGGAGAAATCCTCTGGAGGGGGAGGGTGGGGGGAAACTTCTGGAGGGGGAGGGGTTAAAGTCCATGTGCGCCCCAATACTTTTGGCGATATAGTGTATGTGTCGTTGAGTGTCTCCGACATCTTTTGGTCCCCACCAATGATAGGTAGCTGGACAGACTCCCAGTCATGTGACCACTGTGACAGCCAATAGAGGGGGTCACATGATCGACGGTCCTTCCTGCCCCGGGCACTCAACTTCTTGAATGGACCCTGGGGGGGGGGGGGGGGGGGGGCGGAAAGGGGTTAACACATTCACTGTATTCCCCCTTTAAGCACTGAAGTTCTGTGTTCCCTGATTTTTGTGGACGGAGGAATATTTTTCTTGAGAAAAAAAGAATGAATATGGGGGGCAATTTCTTGGGGCAATTTTCTGACTTCCCCTCTCCTCCTAGTCCTGTTTTTGGTCCATTCTCTCCATCGCGAGGCTCTTCTCCCCGCTCTGCCAGTATTTATTGTTGTGTTCCCCGACGGCGGTATTCCCACACCAGTCCTATGAGCGCCGCCCTTGTGGCATATGACGGATAATCAATGTCTTTCTAGACCTTTCTACAGACACGCTGCTTGTCGTTCGCCACGGTTTCCAGCCCCCGGCACATGTATGGCCTGTGACAGTTAGCCGGGCCGGTATTTCGTCACGGATCATTCTTATGGCTCTTTACTGCCAACTCAGGATTAAAGGGGAATCCCGCTGAGCGTCACCTTCCAATGGGCCATGCCATTCACTGAATTCCTATGCAGATCGCCCTCCACCTGCATCCCTCCAACCATCGACCTTCTTCTCAGATGACAATGGAAGGCCCAACAATGGCTTTACTCTAAACCAGTGGTTGGCAACTTATGAACTAAAGGGGGTCTCAAATGGGGCCCCTGACATCACCAAAGGGCCACACATAATGTTCAATATATGTAATTCTGGAGAAGACTGTGAGAGACTGCAGACCTAATCAGCTGTGTATTCATTTCTTGTGCTGTCAGAGGCAATACAAGAACCAGGTGCCCCCTACCAGCAGTGCCCCAAGCCCCCCATCCCTGTCCTTCGCCGCCACTGCTGCCCAACACCACATCACATCACACCACCCCACCCCATCCTCCTAGCAACTGAAGACACTGCGTGGACTGGACACCTGCACCCTAACAACTGAAGGCACTGCATGGACTGGACGCCTGCATCCTAACAACTGAAGACACTGCATGGACTGGACGCCTGCATCCTATCAACTGAAGACACTGCATGGACTGGACACCTGCGCCCTAGCAACTGAAGACACTGCATGGACTGGACGCCTGCATCCTAACAACTGAAGACACTGCATGGATGGACGCCTGCATCCTAACAACTGAAGACACTGCATGGACTGGACACCTGCGCCCTAGCAACTGAGGACACTGCGTGGACTGGACGCCTGCATCCTAGCTACTGAAGATACTGCATAGACTGGACACCTGCATCCTAGCTACTGAAGATACTGCATAGACTGGACACCTGCATCCTAGCAACTGAGGACACTGCGTGGACTGGACGCCTGCATCCTAGAGATCCAGGAGGAGAATGTCCAGCTGTCAGTCCATGATAAAATGTACCAAGGCCTGGGACAAGCTAACCATAGAGTCTTCCCAGTCCATCGGTTTTATCAGACTCAGTAAAGAAAGAATGGAAGGATCCAGAAAGGGGCCCCTTTTTCTCCAAATCCCTAAGAAGAGGTTTCCTTTTCGAGGAAGAGTCCCTGGTGTGGAACAAGAAACTGAGGTTGGATGTGGCCTTCTCGCAGGTTTCAAGATGCACGGACCTGGCTTTTGAGGATATGGGCATTCTGAAGGATGCAATGGATTAGAGGGCAGACTTTCTTCTTA